TGATATTATTCTAAATCCCAAGTTTTGATTAATATATTTTAAATGTCCTTTTTTCCAAACTTAATGAAACTGAATGCATGATACGAGCCTCATTTGTTTCATTGGCTCCCAATTAAGCGCTACATAATTTTTGGAGCCAATGTTTCGCAATGAAAAGACAGCTATTCCCTTGAATAATAAAGCCACATATATATGAGGACGCAAGAAATCATTGAAAAATAAATACGTGTCACTAACCGGTGAGGTATAATTTCAAAATGTGGGTGGGAATAATAGGGTTCATACATACTTGGTAGTGACAACATTCATTTTATGATTGGATTTGAGACCAACGGGAAAAATCCGGTACTTAAGTCACGAGCCATGTTTTTATTCAAAATCCTGTACTTAAGTCACGAGCTTTAAGTACAATTAAAAAAATCACTTAAGTTTTTATTCACGAAGTACAATTAAGAATCTCCAAAAATCTGAACGAGGTTGTATTAACGGTTTCTACGGTTATATTATGAATTGCCGTTAATACACAATAAAAAGACACAATGGCTCAAACCATTCACAACAGAATATTTGGAGCGAGCGACAAAAAGACTTAAAGTCTAGCGTAAAAAGTGAACAAAATTCTGAAGTTAAGGTAACTATAACAATTACATTAAATGCCACACAAAATACATGTAAACCTTAACTGCATCAGAAACGAATAAATAAACTTAAAATACGTGGCTATGCTCTGACGAATTTTCATTCAATTCTATCTAACATATTCAGCTTCACATTTCAGATTGCAACTTACAGCTTTCAATTCCAATGACTTTATATTCAATTCGCTTCTACCCATGATCACGCAACTGTGTTTTTCCTTTGTATCAAGAAATTATGGTGCGAAATTACTTTACACGTAACCTTTGTTTGATGAGAGGAACTAAAGTAGTTTAGTATATTACCAATTATTTTTTATAATATTACCCACCGTAACTGAAATATATATATTCAGGATCATTAGATTCCAATATATTTGATTCATTGCACAGTTGGATATGAACCAATTGAAAATTTTCGTTGAACGAACTCAAGTACAATAAGCAATTTAATTTTTACGTATAATCGGAGACTGAAGTTTTTTGCAACTAATAAAGCTTCTTTGTAGCAATGGAATGCTTATTATAAAACTTATTGTCGTTCAAAAATTATTTATACACGAAATGATGTTTAATCTAACTCAAAACAGGTAATTCACTGGAGACTGCTCAAATAAAGAACATACTTTCAAAAGATGCGGATATATTCGGACACACAGTGTCGCCCTCGCTTTTTCTACGTCACTCACGACCATTTTGCTCTATAGTTTACACTGTTAGAAAAATACCGTTAACGGTATTACCGGCATTTCAGTGGCCGGTCGGCACGTGAAAAAAACTATGTCGCCGTTTTTATTCTAATTTAAAACAAGAAATCCGTAAAACATCTGATAAAAACGGCGAAACAGTTTATTTTCACGGGGCGACCGGTCGCTAGAATGCCAGTGGGACCGTTTTTTCACCGTTTTTTCAAACAGTGTAGGAGGCTGGAGGCTTGAAATTTCCACTCATCAATGATCTGCTCACGGATGATTCTGACCTCTAAGCTCACGGCTCACCTATATCATTTTGTGGCCGACATAGTCTAGACCTAAAGGCATATATTACTGTAAGTCCGTGTGCATCAATTATTATTCGTGCATCTTCATCAATATTACAAAAGAAAGAGATTTAACGAAACTTTTAAACAATTATCATGTATTTGATTTGAAGTTCCATAAAAATGTTCACAAAAATGTTCCGCAAGTACTTATTAAAAATAATTTCAGTTTCATTTAACCGAAATCTTCGTATAAAAAATTCCAGTGAATAAAAGAACTTCGAGGTAGCCTCTTGTCCAGGATTTTTGATGAATTTAAGCAAGACTGGAGTTCGATTTACGACCAATGTTATACACTGCCGCCGTCAAAGAACCAACGGACCGACGTAAGGGAAGGTTAAGTTGAACTGTTGAGTTCCCCACGTAGAGACCCATGTTCCAGTGGCACGGAGCAAGCAGCCAGTATTGCAGCATGTGAGTCAAGTCGTGATTACGCAACTGTAACCATAGAGAAAGTCAGGAAAATATTTTTTATAGTACAAGTAATGAAAAGAGAAATACGCGTATTATACGACAAATTGAGATGTAATATAATTACAATTATAATTAAAGTTCAATATCTATACATGAAAATACTTAATGCAAATTTTTTTAATTAATTACATTAAATATATATAATTACATTTGAATAAAGTTCAATATCTATACATGAAAATACGTAATGCAAAATTTTTTAATTAATTACATTAAAAAATTTACATGCTGTACGCATGATCGCTTTAAAGAAGTAGGTATAAGAGTTTATCAGAGTGGAAAGATGGACTCACATTTTCGAAAAAATAAGGATAGGAATAGAATTTGCATCCGAGCTATAAGACTTTTTTGTGCATTGCTAAAGAGATAACAAGTATTTTTCCTAGTTAGAGATCAACTAGACCAAGTTTAGAGTATCAACTAGAAAGCGAGAGCAAGTTATTTGAAAATGATCTCGTTCGTTTACTCTATTTTATCTCTCAATAAAGTTGGAAGTCTTAGCCATGGTGCTCAGTATTTAAAACTACAGGCATTTCGACATTATTACTATTCGACTTCAGTTCGACTTTTGACCAACTTTCAAGAGGTAAAAAGCACGAAACGATAAAAAAAATGGATCAGAGTAGATTACGAAAGCTTGTATGTCGGGAAATGAATGGCCGAAGTGTAATTTGCAGGGAGAATGCGTTAATTATTATTAAAAACGTGCAACCTATTTAAATTTCTAATAATGAATTAAATAAAACATTATGAATTAATGAATTAAAATATTAATGAGCCTTTTCTAAAGTGTAGTGTATTAGCTTGAATCTATCAGAAAAGATTTACTTTTCATTTCAAGCTACGAATTTTTCTATAACGGAATATTTCATTCAATTACTCATGGCCAGATCAAAATAGGAATTCACGTGATGTCATTATGCATCATAAGACTCAGAGATGATTTTAAATATCATGTAGCAAATACGATCGATCACTATAGATATATCACTGAATTTATCCGTAATGTTAGTTCAATCGCTTAGATTTTCTTCATAACGTAAGGATCCAAATTGAGAGCGAAATGATATGAAGGAGAATTCAAATCAGTTGTATAGGTAGACGGAGTTAATATTAGTATTTTTCCGAAAATTTTATGTACTTTTGACTAGTATTTGCAGTTTGTTTATTAAATCGGTAACTGAGAAATGTAAACAAAACTGCAATCATAGGCGGGCCCAAGACTTATCATGGATAATTTTATATCCAAGATAAGTTATATATATAATTATATTTCTATATGTATTATAATTTTATATCGCACTCGTGCTTCCAATGTGCATTCAAGTGGTAGTTCACGAATTATTATATACAAAATGGATTAACCAAAAAATATGTTAATAATAATGCCAAAAATGGATTAACTGTGCATTATTAACATTATTATACAATAATAATGTTAATAATAATTATAATAATCAATAATAATGTTAATAATTATAACCTTATTCAAAGGTGTTAAAAATACCACTAAATCTAATACAACCTAAATAAACCCAATGACCGAGAGCACTGAAAATTTTAAATTAAACACCGTAAAGTGTCTCTCTCTCGGCCAAAGAATATCAGAACCAACCCCGTCAGTTGCTCGCACAGAGATGCTGAAACTCATCCAGAGAGCAAAATTCATTATGATCGGGATGTAAATTAGCGCAGTTACATAAGATTTTTGAGTGAGAAAAGTTGTTTACTCACCGGGAGTTAGCCAAGAGATAGCATTGTCAATCATATCTTTGATGTGTTCGAAAACTGAAAACATGTCTTCCATCTTGTCGATGGCATCATCCCAGGCCTTCTCGATTTCATCCACGGCAGATTTAAAACCTTCCAACATCTTTACGAAGAGTTCCTTGAAGTGAGGTAACTTCGAGAACGACTCCTTGATTTCCAACACGAAATGGGAGTCCTGAATATTCTCAAGACCTCCTCGCAAGGATTCCAGAGCTTTTTGTGCTTTCGGAAATTGTCTTGTGACGTCATCCGCAATTTTGCCAGTAATGTCCTTGATGAATTCTGATGCTGCTCTAGTCGCGCTTGAGAGCTCGCGTGCCATTAGCGACTGAAAGAAAGGTTCACGCTGAAATTTAACCCATTATCCACGGATACATTAACTGTCGGCAGTGAAATTCTTATACAAATATTGGCCTGGCAGTTACACATATCATACGGTTTATGAAAGTTTATGCAAAATAAACGCGCCAATATTAAACCTTCTTCCACCGTTGCGCAGGCCAAGTCCATTTTACTGCCTTGAATACAGTCAATAAAATACGCAGTTATAACGTGAAACAAAAGATGGCCTTCGTTTAAATGGAAAACCAAATTAAAAGCAATCGTTTTAAGAAAATAACCAGTTTCCAATTACCAGTTTCCAGTTAACAGCTTCCAGATAAATTTCCAGATAAATTTTAAATTACCAGTTTCCAGATAAATTTGAGCAGAAGCATTTCTGAACATTGTGAGTAACAAAGTAATTGCGCTGCCTCTTTCCTCTAAGGCCCAAAGTTATTCATAAGAGACTTCGCTAGGAGTAATCCGAAAGAGTGGCAAGTAAATTACAATATGCCTAATCGAGGATAAAATAAGTAAAACTTCTTACTTGTTTATAGTTCAAACAACATTTTTTGAAGTGATTTTTCATAAGGAGGCATATAATAACTATGCTTTATTTTTACCTCACTGATAAGTATACGAGGCTAGAATTTCATCGCACACTTTCAATTCACTCTCAACTGGCCGAGCACTTTTAATGCAAGGCTGCATTTCCGCGTATTCTCTTTATGTTTAGAATATGAATGTCAAGTAAAGTCACATTACTTCAAAAAATTCACTATATTTACTTGTAATTTTTTTAGGTCTTGATTTCTTGGTTGATTTGCAATATGAGCTAACTGATATTGTAAACATTATAGAAAGACAACATTTCCAATTTCAAAATGGCACTTAAACTATTCAATTACACGTGTTCCCTTAGTTGTAATTCATGCATAAAGAAAACAATTTGTTAATACAGGACTCATTATCTGGGCTAAACTGATAAGTGAATGATTCGAAGGTATTTCCGAGGGAGCTCATTTGATTTGATTAAGTTTAGAAGATAGCCGCGAAAAATGAAACTGAAATAAAAACTTCAATTATGGCCCTGCTCGGTATTAATACGAAATTAAAAACTTACTTATGGCTTACATTTTCAATAAAATTCAGTGAAATTGTGTTAAATTGAAACGAAGTTGGGCTTGATACTCGTGCATCAGAATCTTGCACGGTAAATGTTATTAGGTTTAGCACCTCTGTATTTTTTCATGCTATTACTTACAAGAAAGATGACATCTCAGTTGCAAAAATGCTTGAAATTCTCTCATAAATTCCATAAAACATTGATACCTGAACATATTCCGTCCACCAGTGTTTGAAAGAAAAATAGAAAAAGTAATGAAGACAATCTCATCGAATGGTGCTTAAAAATTATTGAAGATAATTTGAATCGGTAATTGCTATATAATATTATTCATAGTAAGATTATGGTAAAGAATTTTTAACGCAACTTAAACATACGAATAAAATTAATTGTCAAATAAAAATCACTCCCCTTGTAATTTAGTAGAATTAACAAAGAACGCCGGCAGCATATTGTAAAATCTAAATAAAAATATACCTCTTATTTCATAAATGCACCTGAACATTTTACATAAAATGACATCGATGAACATCTTAGGCAAAACCAGACTTGTGATGGCGTTAAATCCACAAAAAGGTTCTTGTTTTACAATAATTAAAAAACACTATGACACTCCAAACACTTGAAATGAACATTTTACACCAAAAAATCGGGATGAAACACAATGATTCAATAGCAGTAACATTCTTCTTATAATTCAGACAGTGTAGAAACTATTGCACTTCTAAATTTGCGCCTCACTTAACATCGGTTTAATCGCATCATTTTTGTCATATCTGCTCGTAGGACAACTTATTTTATTTAGCGTATCAACATTCAGACAATATTATGTCATAATTCGCATTAATTAAAATTAAAATCTTCACACAAATTGAAGTAATTTTCTGAACCTATAAAGGGATCTTGACCTTAACATTTCTTTCATTTGATCTATCATGGTCAATTAACACATGCAGAAGTCACTTTCGCGGAATTATATTTAAAAATTTCCATTATTAGTATAGAAACATTTGTAAATTTTATAAGAAACTGCGCACATGTTCTTTTTGAATGCACATGAGTTTGAATGTTACGTTCGAACTCTGTTCCAACATCATCTGGATTCAACACATTTTTAAGGTTTACATTTGGAGTCAACTTTTTCTTTGTTAAATTTCCTAATGATCTGATCAGGAGTGGGATTTCTCGGGTATTTGGTCCAGCCAACGCCGTAGGTGGAGTGGCGTTCCACAGATTTGACTACAACGGTATGCGACTGTAGATCCCACATACACTCAACATCAGGACACATGATCTGAACTGCCCTTTCATTGCCCGAAACTCGCATGCCCCCAATAAACCTCGTAAAGTTAACTGGTTGAGCTTCGGAATTGATCAAGGTTGGATGACCTTTACTGTTCATGGTCACGATGTCATGCGAGTGTTTGCCGTACTTGAATTGCACAGAAAAGTCTGCAGATCTTGCGTCCTTGAAAGTTACTATGGCCTTATCCTTTCCGGAGTTCATTTTGCTCAGAACATATTCACAGCTAGAAAATGGCACAGCTATGACCTGCTTTCTCACGGTAAGCAGCAGCGAAGCGGAAAGTGTCATAGAATACTTTGGAAAGGGCGGATATGGAGGAGGTTGGGTGATTAAGGCTGTCATTAGTGACCCTGTAGGCTGTTGGAGAGGCAGGTTCAGCTGAATGGTTGAATTTCCCACATAGAGCCCCATGTTGAACGGAGCCAACAGCCAGTAATGCAGCATAGAAATGAAGTCGCGCTCTCGCAGCTGTTGAATAAAAGTAATTGTGAAAATTTTTCCTAAATGCAACTGAATTGACGCTCTTTACATTCAAACCAAACCATAAATGAAACATAAATGTTTTCATAAGTGTTATTCAAGTTAAGTGTTGTTCTAAATATGCAGTCAAAAATTTGAATGCATCCTGCTGAGTTCCGCGAATGGCTGTGTCAACTGATTGTTCAATATTTACGCTAAAAAAGTCATGTCTATATTCAGTTGTGGCTATAATTTAACTTGTCTAGATGTGTATCGGTTTCTTTGATTGCCAGTTTTCTCACAATGTTGCTAAAAAAATGTTGCCCCCCCCACAAAAAAAATATGGCGCAAACGAGCCAAGTTTCCGTAAACCACACATCAGACTGGCTCATTTCGATTTTGAGGAGAAGTCTATAGTTTTATACAACAAGCGCAACGTAAAAATGTAGACTGAAAAAAGTAAGTGTCAATTATATAAACTTTGCCATTGAATTTGGTAAAACTAGTGAATATCACCCATCTATATCTCAATTGATGTTCTCGACACTGCGTATAAATTTGCTAGGGCAGCAAAACTCACACTTTTTAAGCTACGCAAGGCAGCGTCTCGCGCAGAGTGCAAGGATTCGTCTTGCAGCAGCAGCAGCTTGCCATACTCGCGCAGGTCGCTGGCAGTTTGCCGCACGAGCTCTGCAAGATTTCCTACGAGCGTCTGGACCGCAGCTTGAGCTCGTGGATAGCTGGACGTCCAGCTGTTAGTAACGCGCTCCAGCGATGGCAGTTGCAGCGTCTCCCAGGCCTTGTCCAGCAGGGAATCTACATTGCCTGTGGAGGGATATGGTTGTAATTCGGTCTACTTGAGGAACATGGTTGTGATTCAGTCATTGTTTTTAGATCACTCATAAATAAGATGCTTTTGACGAGTTTCTGCTAGCACTGGCTTGTAGTTTAAAATATTAAGATAAGTGAATCATATGATTTTATTGTATTTGCAGTAATAAACTTTGATTGTTATTTTTATAGTGAAAATTTACTGATCTACTTTCGGAGTGTAATTAATTTATAATGTATTCGCAAAGACACTAGTATCATATACTAAGCTAGTATTATATTCATATATAAATGAGCAACACGTTTTTCAAATGCACGTAAAATTAGGAAACACTTGAAGTATAGGATCATGCGTCGCGTTCAGTTGTTTTACCAGTTCAGTTGTTTAATTACCCGTGCCATGTAAAATTAAATAATTTTCGCACCTTTTTAGAAGAAATGCGCCGAATTCAATGTTACACACCCTTTTTCGCTTGACTTTAAGATCAATTTCATCACTCGAGCTTCATTCAGTAAATTAAAATTTACCGTTTCGGTTAACTAGGGAAAGATTGAAATATTCTCTCACTTACGTGGAATTAGCCGGTCGAATAACGAGTTATCCACTTCAGTGTCAGCCATGAACGTTTCGATATCTTCCAATATGTCGGTAGTTTTTTCCCAGAAACGTTGGACGGATTCTTCCAGAGACCTGATCAACTGCTGAGTTGCATTGATGAGCGGCATAAAGCTTGGCAATTTAAAAAAACTCTGTTGCACCTCCATCGCCACGGTGGAGTCTTGCAGATTCATCAACGCCCGTTTCAAGGCTTCGAAAGTATTTTGCGTTCCTGCGAACTGCTGGGCGAAGTCTTCGTTTACTGTGTTCTTGAAATCTTCGATGAAGTCTGATGCGGCGTCAACGGCGCTGGAGAGCTCACGTGACATCAATGACTGTTCAGATGTGACGAAATCATTAACTGTTTCCATCATTTGTGATTGTAATATTCAGCTTTTCGATTTATACACGACATTCCCTTCTTTCGTTACATATTTTACCCCTAAATGTATTCCGGCTTGGTACAAATATTGCAAGCATGAGCATGGTATTATTTTTTTTCAGTGAAAAGATGCGAGATATATTAGAATACCTCCGACTAATTCTAATGTTAAGGATTCAATCATCGAAATATTTTTTTCTCACACTTGTAGAATTCGAATTCTACAGGTACTTCGGTTACATGTATACTAAGAAAAAATTTGAAACGTGGTATTATTCAACGGTGGATTCCAGCAATACAAATCTCCTAGCGGCCTGAAAAAACTTTAAGTAATTATTCAAATTTATAATTTTGCATGTATCAATTCCTATAATTTCCTCCACTGAAGAGGAATGAATTGATACTGGATAAAAACTAAAATACCGAATTTCCTAGTTTTTATAAATTCAAATTCTTACTCTTCTTTGGGTGGGGGTGGGGGTGGCATTGCAGCCAGTGATCATTTTTTCCGCTTTAAATACTAATTTTTGTCGCAAAAAAATGTGTCGCAATATTTTTTTTAATCTGTAAATTAATATTGTATGATAGGCGAGCACATCAACGAAATGTTAGACTCTAATGATCAAAGTTTCTATTTAGGTGAGACTATGCAACTGACTACTCCAATGCAAGCGACTAATAATAATTAAGTGCGGTAATTAATATTTGTAGTTATCAAATTATTAACATTAAAAAGTATCATGTGTGACTTGGAAAAATTCATCCTCGACTGGACCAAAACATTAAATATTTTGTGTAAATTTAGAATTTTATAGCTTATCGTTTGGGAGATATTTTTTTTTCGAAAATTAAGAAGAATGTAGTAATAGAATAAAAATATTCATCTAATAATGCAACTTTAAGAGTTTATTCATGTAGTTCATTCGCACGTGGCAAGTTTTCACTGCGGTAGAAAATTACATTAATTTGTTCGTATGCCCAGAATTTTGCTTAGTTCATGAAAATAATAATGAATAACATAGGCTTTCAATGTTTTAGAAATGGTCAAACGAAAGATGCTCAAAAACATGATAAATTTACAAGTGATTAATAAAGTTACACAAAACAAGAGGAAACAAATTGATCACTGACCTTCAGGTGTGAATTCCTTTCGGAAACGCTGCAGGTGAACGAGTAAATAAACGAAGATGAAGTGTCGAATGTCAAGGACATGGTAGATATAATTCACTATTTCATTGCAATTTGAATTACAGTCAAATGCACGTTTTACTTAAAATTTTGTGAATGCCGACGTTTCCACGGTCCCAGTGAAAATTTACACTCGTGGCAGCTTCTGATTTGGATTACCAGAAGCTGGGGCGACTCTAAATTTTGTTACCCAGTGAAAATTTACAGACGCGGCAGCTTCTGATTTGGATTACCAGAAGCTGGGGCGACTCTAAATTTTGTTAGGGGTATCACTAATACGGTGCTTCTAACGACGTCATCAGCACTCAATGAAAATTTCAGGCGTATTCATTAGATGCCACTACAAATCATACCATACGATAAGAGTTGCAAGCAGTGCCGGCCAATCTTGTACACGTTCGTGCTAACAACAATATAACTTCCTTTATCCCTATATTTTTATATACTTATACGAAAAAATTTACATTGCTCCCCACTATCCGTACCTCAGTGCAGCCAGGTTCCTGTTTTATTATGCTCACAATCTTCTGAATCATAACGAACTTACTGTTATGTGGGATTCGATGAATTTAAATTTCTCAATACTCGCTATTATGAAGAATATTAAAATTATTTATTTCATGCAAATCCAGGAGACCGACTAAGAGTGTAATTACAATAAAACTTCGAATGAAAAGTCACCAACAAAAGATCCTGATATGTTATGCCGAAAACGTTCATATTAGAATTTAAATACTCCTGATGTTCGATACAACTTAACCTAGGAAAGAGATTACCGGGGTCTTTCTGGAAAAGTACAGTTGAAGTTACGTGATCAATCATAATGTTATAATCATATTTATCAATCAATATGCATCCAAACGGGTCCTTTCTGCTCACCAGTCACGGTGACTGTACGTAGTTTGACCGACTGACCGTATGTAGAAAATTTTGATGGGCTGCGGCTGGATAACTTTCCTGCTACTATCTATGAGATCAACCAACTCTCATGGGGCCATACTTTCAAAACTCGCTAAGTGAACGTAAGTATTTACGCTCTATTTTCTTGTCTATGATTGGTGGATTTTGTTTGAACGGCCGTCAATGATTGTCTGATGAACTTACGATCTCTAAATTTTTTTTTGAAAGTATAGGCCCTGGGGGCCATACTTTCAAAAATCGCTAAGTAAAAGTAAGTACTTACGCTCTATTTTCTTGCCTATGATTGGTGGATTTTGCTTGAAAGGCCGTCAATGATTGGCTGATGAAATTACGATCTCTTAATTTTTTTTTTTGAAAATATAGGCCCTGGTCACCAGAAAAACTTTTACAAAAGTCGTAAGTAGCAACTTTACACTGTGTCATACGTAAGTTATCCTGCTACCCTACACTGTACTGTACGCTGGTGACTGTTCCTGCTGCCCTATACACTGTACTGTACGCTGGTGACTGTTCCTGCTGCCCTATACACTGTACTGTACGCTGGTGACTGTTCCTGCTGTCCTATACGTCAAAGTGGTTTTGGATGAAATTTGGACGAACTTGGATGAATCGCGAGAAAGTTTGGAATATTTTCGCATAAAGATCAAATATATTTTATACAGATGTTGGACCAATCTCCGTGAATAACAGAGATGAAAATGATGGGATTCAGACTAACGTGATTCGGTAACATCACCCGGCCATAATTGATAATTGTCAATTCTATGTGAAAATTTATAATTTGCAATTTTAGGCAATAGTAGATAATTTGTGATTCCACTGAATGATAATTGATTGGTATATTGAATGGTAATCGACATCTTTTCTGAGTGAGGATTCTTTCATGTTCTAAGGCATAAAGTTATTTAATTGGGGACGAATTTCAAGTCAAGAAGATTCGTGGGAAAGGAGGATTGGTGCTGCTCGTGACAACCCCTTCCAGTTGGCCGCGGTGTAGTTTTTATTAAAATTCAAAAGGACAAATAGGTGACTTTACCCTTCCTCGCTATGACGTAAAATTTCCTGTAATGGAGAAGTTGTTTATACATTAATTCACATGATAATTCTTACCGGTGAGCTGGGATATTATTTTGATGGCCCAAACACTGACCTTAGTTGGAGCTAATATGTCCTGGTCGTACTGAGCCTTGAGAGCCAAGGTCTGGGAGCCAACAAGTTTTGCCGCAACTGCTGCGACTGGAACTTCTTTCTGCTCGAACTCACTGCCACTCCACTTCTTCACCCACCCGCTTGCAGGTACCCGCATATTCTTGGTCAGACTCAGCTCTGCATGAGTCATGCTCTTAACCCCGGCTTTGATGACGTACTTCTCTTCTGGGGCATCTTTGGCGCCTGTAATGACCTTAATGAAAGCCGGAGAGCAGGTTTCGATCTGCAAGGCGTACGTTTTATCACTTGGAGACAGCACAGTGGTGTTGAGATTGTAGCCTTGACATCCTATTGTATGCTCCTTCTTTAATACGCCGCCGATTTCGAACTTTTTGTTCTGAGTTTTAAGGAGCACAGACACAATGCCCGACTGCTGCGACTGTTTGATGTACTTCGCAGCTAACAAAGAAGATGGGGCAGACTCCAAATTGGATCTGTACGCCACAAGCAAAGCCTTCTCGTGATCAGCAGCAGTTACGTCCATGACAACGCGAGGTCCATCCGCAACATCCTAAAAGTGTGGTGTAAACATTAAAATTGTATATTTTTATTTTTCGCATGCCCAGACTTACAAACTGACAAAATATACGCGACTTCATTGTTATGAATGAATGAAGTTAACTTCATATATGAAAATAAAATTTGAGAGCCCAAAACGTGAAGCGAAAAATTGATCGCAATTAGCCTACAACAACTTCTATATCACGACATGATGGGACGAACAACAGACATCTGATAAGTATAGAATAAACTTAAGCACCTGTCGTTGGAAACGCAAAAGAATGTACTGACCGAAGAGGAAAGCACGGATGCCTCATAACGCATCATGTCGTCGCCAAGTCTCGTTGCGTTCACTTTGATGTTGATGGCTTCTTCGCTGTGGGGGAAAACGTCAAACGAGACGTGACCGTTCGTGGAAGCGTCTCCGGAAGAGAATTTCCCGACTACCATCTTCTGACGACCTGCATGTGGGTACTCTAACAAAACATTCATTTGTTGTTCGGGTTCAGAGAATTGATTGGTGAATTTTGCAGTGAACTTTCCATGTTGCTCTCCAGAGTTGGGATAGATAACTAATGATTTTTCTTGGTTATTGTATCGTCCAGAAACTGCAAATGAATGAGGTGGAATATCGAATTTAGCTGACAAACCGTCCTGTTCTTCCCTCAAAATATGAGCAAATAGGATCGTCCGGTCATTCTTTAGCACCTTAAGGGACGCTTCACGGTCTGATTCTGATTCCGAAACTTGAACATTGAGTTTTTCGCCAGAAATATCGCAGTTCATGGCAGCGTCCAGCCGACGGAGGCTTGATGGGGACATTTCCAGGTCAGTTTTATAGTTGATCTGAAGTGCAGGCTGCGCTTCATTGAGGCCGGATGACGACAATTCACCCTGAGCAACCATTTCATTAGACGACGGAAAAACTCATTCATGGAATATCATGTTATTGAATATTGAGTTGATTCACAAAACAGCTACGGGAAGGTTAATAATTCCTAAACGTCCAAATGAAATATACAACTTCAGGGAATGTTTCCTAGTGAAGTTCACAAAAACACTAAAATTCATTATACCTATCACCTGAAAACTTTTTTTATAATTTCGTAATTAGGATAAAAAATAAAAATCTATGGCTCCCGTAGCTAGGCGTAAATTATTTTACTCAGTTTGCACAGTTATTTGAGAAATCTTCCGGTAATTTAATACATCTGTGGTCTCAGAATTGTGAAAAATGTTTCTTCATTCACTAAGTTAATTTTACAACTTTGAAGACTTGTCAACACCCCTCGTTTGGATTCCAGATGAAAATGCATGATATCGTGTGTTACTTTACATAGCGCAAACACCAAACATGATTATCTGTCCTAAAAATCAGAGGATAACAAATTCTTACTTCGAGTTGGAGTGCGAGGTCAGGTTGATAGTGACTGTTGAGGCTGAATGTAGATTTGAACTCTCCAATATCAGTGACATGAGACGTGAAGCTATTCTTAATCTGCGTCGCGGAGTCTTCGTGGCTGACTTCAAGCTGTTTCTTGAGGTAGTACTCTTTCTTGCTTGGTGTGACGAGTGAAAGCTCACTGTCAAGCTCCAACGAATGTTGAGGCTCTAAGTGGAATTTTTGCGAGCTAAGAAGAGTAAGAAACTCTTCAGACTCCTTCATGATTTGCAGCTTGACGTGTTTGTCGATGTTCCTCCACGATTGTTGGCCCTCCAGTGATGAAGTCAGAGCATAATGGTAGCTCTCCCGAGCAATTCTGGCATCGCCTCTGTAAGAGCCAAAAAAATGCTAAACAAGGAATTTTGTGCATCGTTTATTAATAAAATTATTGAGCTGCGATGATAGCATCTGATATTTTCGTCCTATTTGGCAAGAAGTTGAATACTGACTGAGAAATCGACAAAATTAATCTTGTTGATTATAATTTCAAAGTAGAATTAGTGCCAATGAAATTTGTTAACAACTATTTAATTTCATATAAGATACACGAACGGCCGGGCCTGCTCGTAAGAAAATTCGTTGGTTTCTTAGAACTTGTCCAAATCAAGGACTGATGTAATTCTAAGAATAATGAAGGTTATATCCCGGTAACATGGTCATGCTGGTGTAATTATAGTACCAGCGTTTATATTTACTTATTTAAGTTATAAATCTATCTTAGTCTTATTGTCAAAAAATTATGCTATTTCTACAATACTTGTCTACCTAAAAAATAGTGAATTTTCACTTACCTCAGAGAGAAGTGAGAATTATCTTCCAGCATATAAGTGCCGCTGAGTTGAACGTTGTGCTCAGGATCTCTGATTTTGTCCAAATAAATCTTAGCAGAAAATTTTCCTTCAGGTTGGTGGGGTGAACCACTTCTATCGACGCTCACTTGATACTGCAGGTGGTGAGGCGAGTAGACCTCAAGTTTCACTTCACCATCGGACTGTACGTGCGACGAAGATTTCTCCAGCTTGAAATCGGTTTTGATTTTTTCTGGAATTTCAATTTTGCTCATGGCGGATAAGCCTGACTCATAATTTCCACTGACATCGTGTTGGTAGGAGATCAGTAGCTGCTGGGCTTTATTGATCGTAAACAAAACCTTGTTTTTGTTCGAGGAAATATCTATTTCAGTGTCTACGTGATACGATCTGCTCTCAGGTCCACTGATGCGGATACCGAGGTGGGACTTTTGGTGAAGAGAACCTTGGCTTCTCACCCAAGTGAAGGGACCCTTAATAGACGCGACCTCTTCACCTTGGCTCTGACAAAAATTTCAACAAAATGAATAAAATTGAAGCAAATAGATATCAATGCAACTGGAAAATCCCAAAATGAGAATTCATTCCCTCTGATGTGAAGCAAATAGAAATCAATGCAACTGGAAAATTACTAAATGAGTTTGATGGATTCGTTCATTAAATTTAAATAAAAGTTTTTTTTATCTCATTTAAGAGATTCTCAGTGGTCAGGAATATAATATTATTACTAAATCAGCCACAGCGGAAAGACACCACATCATTTGGAAACCATTCGAAGTGAGCGAGTGCGTATCGCGTTAAAACATGGAAACAAATCTTACCGCCACCGAAAGATCAATTTCCTGTGGAGATTTGCGTGACGTCATCCTAACATTGATCTTCTTATGGGGCACGGTAACCAGAACGAGGCTTTTACGTATCTGATGTTGCATCTCATCAGACATTAACAGAACGATGGGCTGCGTTGAGCCTTCGTTTATTTCAACGGCCAAAAGCCTTTTTGACAATTTGTTCACCAGCGTTGCGTTGATAATTCAATTGTCGAATAGCAGTTTTCAGTCTGCAACGAACTCAACTTCGGGTCATTGTGTTGAATGCGTAACCGTCCGTGTGCATTTCGCTCTTTGCCGTCGAGTGGACAGATAAAAGCTTCACTGTATTGTACAGCGCCTCGAAGACTCCCGAGAAAACCCGTTGTTGTGGACCTTGTCTGTTCTCTGTGATCTGTCCATGAGCTTTGTAATCACCGGTTCCCAGCAGTGCTTCCAGTTTGTTGATGCGGATGGAGTTATGTTCCTCATTGGTTATATCCACTGAAAAAACAATGTCAAACAAGTCCGATTTGAGTGCAAGAAAAATGTTAATATCTTTTATTACAGAATTCAAGATTATTTATTCAAACAACCTTTCAACCATGTAAGAGAATCTGGGACGATGAGATTGGGGAAATGAATTCATCTACCCAGAAGTGTAGACGACATAATCGGTCGAGTTAAAGTTAGCGCTGATGAATTGTAGTTAGTGCTTTTACCGTCATAATAACGTAGTGGGATATCAAAACGACATGATTACCCGCTCAAATTGTTCGAAAAAGTATGTTCTTTTTTTACATTAAAGTTTCAATTCCATTTGTTTACATGAACATACTGTTTTTAGCGCATTTTCTCAGTTATGGAAAATAGTCGCTATTGTGCTCGCCATGTCCGTCCGTCCGTCTATCTGTCCGTCAGTTTGTTTGTCCGTCTGTCTGTACGTCCGTCTGTCTGTCTGTCCGTTCGTGACTTCATGTTTCGTCGACTAGAAATGCGCTCTCTGTCACTCACTGCAGTGAGTACTGAGTTATATTTTTTTAGCTAGAGAAAGTAACAAAAGTAAAAATAATCAAAGAGCATATAACAATCCTGCCTCACTTGGTCATTGATCAACACACTGGCTTCATATGATTAAATATCTTCACTTAAATTCGTAAGAATTAGAGAATTAATATTAATTCAATTGAACATGAGCGAGAAGAAATACCTTGAACATCAGTGAGTATTACAGAGCGAAGAGCCCCCAAGTGAGTATTACAGAGCGAAGTGCCCCCATAGTTTTGAGAGCTACTTCTAATTTCCCTTCATCTGATCGACTGCATTTGCCGGTCAAAACCTGGAAACAGAAGCTCAAATTATTCCTGCATTAAGTAAAAAATTAAATAAATTCATATTTCCATCAAATAAATAAAGACCAAAAATCTAAAAACTTTGTTTTGATTAACAATGTAAAACATCTTGCAGTACACATTAACATTCACAATGAATTTAAAATATAAAACTTTATATAAAATATATTTTATATAAAAATATAAAATATAAAATATAAAAGTAACTCATGAAAATATGGGTAATTACTATATTTAGCACTACAGTTAAAATAAGAAAAATATTATCATCAAATTAGTGATTGTTTAGCATGTCAACAAAAAATAGGTGTGTAGTATGGAATAATTGATGCTAATACGTTTCTGAACGCATGATGTTAATTAACTATTTCCTTGATTAGCAAAATGCTGGAACGCAGGGTAGGTAGTTTTTAATATTTACACTTTTATGAAATTTATTGGTCTCTCCGTATCAATAGTTTATTGAACTATATATTACATTCTTTATGTTGAAACGAATTTGTTTACATTAAACCATCGTGTGACTATTCTTGTTAAACTGCCTTGGGATCAAAAATACCGTCAACATCTGAAGGGTTGAATAGATACAAGAGAATTACGTATTTAAAATAGTTTAAAAGGTTTATAAATAAAGCAGAAGATGAAAAAAATCGATTTTCTCTGTCTAATTGTGGAATTCATTTTTTAGAATCTTATGTTAATTTGAGTTATTCTTATTAGTTTAGAAGTGTTTTCGTTATAATTATTTAAACAATTATTACAACTAGAAGTCATAATAATAATTGTGCAGCATGATTAACTCTACAACTCAAAGTTGATTCTGAAATAAATTTTTGTAATATATGAAGAGATATAAAGATGGGTTCCTAATTTTTAAAGAATACATCTTCTGATCGGTAAGTTTACTTACCTTCTCTGGTGGAGATGATCCAACTCCAAAATAAATTTCAAGCTGACGCAATTTGATGCCTTGATTTTTGCTCGTAATAACCATTTCGAGTGAATGAACGTTTTCCTCAACTCTGCTCTTCAGCTTCAAGACTTTTCTATCTTGCTGCTCGGAAAACCCGATTTCGGCAGCCATTTTGGTTGGATTTTCGCTACCGGGAATTTCAATTTTCATGCTGTATCCATCAGATTCTGATTTCTCCGTCAATGAAACTTCGAAACCTTCAATACTAGGATTTTCCTTCTTTATCGTGGTTCTGATGTAAGAGGGGGCAACAAGGGGGTAATCTGTTTTAGCCCACAAGTCGGCCACATTGTAATCCGAGCACATTTTAAGGCCAGCAACAGAAGAATAGCAAACGTTTTCGGCCTTGATTCGGGGATCGTTGAGTGTGCTTGGCGGGAGCGCTCGCTCGCGTTCATAGGGGAGTTTAGTCATCAAGTAGCCTCGGTTTTCGAAACGGAAGGCCTCTGCATTATCTTGAGGGAAGTTAAGTTTGAACGACAGTGAACTTGGCAGGTTGACTTTGGCGCTCACAATGACATCACTTGACGAATGAATTGTGGTGTTGAGTTTCAAACCTAGAGCTGGACCGAATTTGTATCCAATGAAATAATTTGCGACTATTGAAACAACAGGAGCATACTGGAAGGAAGAGCCCAGTTCAATTAAGCTGGCCTTGCTATTTGTACTTCCAACCACTGACAAATCTCTCGAGAATAAGATGGGAATGCCCTGGACTGTTGATATCTCAAGGTTACACCGACTCTGGAAAGCTTGAAAACTGTGAATCTGTTTTTGAGTGATGATTTCGTTGTAGATTTCACCTATAATCATATAAAGTCGTGCTAAGATGTCTGACGCATAATCTTCGTCACTTGCAAGACTTACAAACAATCTTTCCTGACCTAAAATCTTCAAGAAGAAGTCCAACTTCCCTCTCGACGATTCTCCCTGCTTCGGTATATACATTTTCAACATCCTACCCAAGGCAGTGTTACCGATTCCGTTCTCAGAATTCAGAATGCTTTCAAGGAGAGCTGGTACATTTTCAAGCCTGAAACCCCATTCGCCGACATTTACAATTTCGTCGAATATATCAAATGTTAAATTTGATCTCCATTGCCTCAGAGTTTTTTCCTGCTGGTCGAAAATTGCATCCTGGAGATATTCTAATCCAAAGCTCCCAGACCGAGTGAATTTCGAAAAATCAAAGCTGTGGGACGAATTAACTAAGTTTGATGGATAATTTTGTGATATATTGAATGAAGCGAGTCGTTCTTTGACATCGATTTTGTAGGGTGCTTCTGTGAGCTGAAGATTCGTGAGGTCGGAAAGAATGTAGGCTCTTGCTGTTGAGAAAAAAAAGTTGCCATCATTTTGTAGCTGGTCCATTAAAAAGTCTGTAGCATCCAAGAATTATTTTTAAACGACGATAATTTTTTCAATAACTCTACAAAATGGATAAATGTGAATATTTCCGTAGCTACGTCCTTAACCTTAATTCAATTTGATCAACTTACTTTACCGATGTTTGCAACTATATTTATATTAAATGTTCCATCAATAAAATTTCTGTAACTAAATCTTAAATTTTATTATTAAACTCCTGAACTTATCAAATCCCACCGGTTCCATTATTTTATATAACGGTAACTGATTTAATTTTCAGCAAATGTATAATCGATAAATCCTCTAAACTAGGATAATTTAAAAATATTTTCTACTAAATTCTCCGCATACACTGCTGACCACCGGAACACCAAGTCCCTTCCAGCTTATGGCAAGGCGCGACCACACTTACACATTGAAAAGTACTTTTCATGCAAAAATAAACAAGAAATAATCAGCTATGGTTAAATATAAATTGATTGGCTTTCTGAGTTATGGATGCGACATTTCCGTTTTACTGCAATCCGATGTGCAAAGAGCAAAGATTAATTATCGTCTTAAGACCTGTGGGATTATAAATGAAATCCAGTTTGTCTATAATCTGGGTTCTGTTCAAAGAAGAGAAGCACACTTTATCAATGCCAAAAAACAAGCTGAGCAAGGTCCTCTAGCTTGTAGGTGGAACAGTCATCTACCCTACAGCATGCATCACCGTCTTGTCGGTGGACTACGTATACAACTGATGTAACTCTCAACTACCTTCGGACCACTATGAAGACCGATGACTATTGATACGCTCTGATTTCGCTTGCGAAGAGATAGATTGTTCATTTAGAAAGAATTTAATAGAACAGCTTATAATCATCATCTACCCAGGTACCTGAATATTAGAATTGGCATTTCTCATGGTACAACAAACTTTTCGGGATATTGGGAGGCAGTAGTCACTGGCCGCAAAAAAAGCACACGAAATATCTCATAAATTTCTGATGAGAGATGATTCATCATGGGACAAATTTAGGAAATAAATCTCAGCTCACCTTGGTCGTTATATTCTTGAGATGTTATTTTGGTTATGAGATGACCAAGTTCAGTTTTGCTGGCTGACAAAACTGCGGTTTTGTATGCGAAGATGCGCAACTCAGTTTTTTCACTTTTGTCCGTGGCAATGCCCAGCATTTCCTCAATATCCTGGAAAAAAATTTCTCTTTGTAATCAGGTCGGCTTGTGAACTTATTACTGGATTCATTCATATAAACTCTGAATAATCCTAGTTTTCGATTTTTTTAACTTGTGAAACTATAGAACTGTCACTAGTGAGCTTGACTTACTTCTCTGGAGAGCTTGGTGTTTTTAAGAACTTCAGCTGCTTGGAGGCGCACACGTAACGGTACTTTACTGTCCGAGAAACATTCTTTGACAGTGGGGCGCAGAACATCACTAATGTTCTTCATATTTCCGACAGTCTTTAGCAAAATCACTGCAGTCTTCTCATGTTTACGGTCGTTGGAAGCTTGGGTGCAAGAGGATGTGAGTCTTTGAGACACGGTCTGCATCAGGCGCTGAAGTTTTTCATCCATCCGGCAAGTTCCATCGTACTGTCGTCCTTCCGTTGAGCAATACGTCTTCACTACGGTACCAACTGCCAGAGTAACGAAAGAAGGAAGATCATCATCTTCAAGAAGGGGCTGGACAGCAGCTACTCCGTTACTGCAAACTCTTTTTAAAGTCTGAAGTCGCCATGTATACTGGAAAAGGCGTTGTTTATTTAGAATGTTCTCTGCCATCACTTTTACTGCTCCGTGGTTTTCTGTTGCAGGTATGGCGTCCAGATAAATTGCTTCCAAGTCGTCCGATTGGCTGCAGTACTTTTTGCTTTTGATATTTTTCCAAACTTCATAAATCGCAGGTTCTTCGACATCGTCCATTGCAGATATCAAATCTGAAAACATTTGTGCAGTCTGCATTGTCACGCTTCCTTTTTCAATTACGGCACAGAGACCTTTTAGTTTTAGTTCCATTTCGGAAACTGCTGAAGCATTTTTAGGCTCAGATGTGAAATCATAAAGCAAACTTGTTTTCCTCGCATTCTTGATTTGTCGGACAGCTTCCGTACGCATCGTCTTTTTCAAAGTCAGCTTTGAGTTTTGCTGTGCAGCCACAGACTTCCCAACACCCAAAATGGGGGCAATTTCGTTGTCGTCACGGCAAGTGACCGTCTTGAACAAGCCACCCTGAATTTCTTGCACACATTCTGACTGTGATGACCTCATAGGAATGACAGATTTTAGAGGTATTGCCGAGAGAGGAGACTCGCTTCCGTCTCCGTATCTCTGTGAGCATAAACGATGGTCCTTGGATTTCTTGACCACAACTTTGTCTCCGTCATGCTTCACATTGTATACAGTAGGACAAATCCCAATTACATCCATCTGGAGAGACAAGAATAAGAGTCAACAAAAAGTTGGCTTTAACATTAGGAGATCTGCAATATTGAGCTTGAGTGACGACACTCACAATGAAGAACTTCGTATTTTCAGAGTCAAAACATATACATTCAAATCTTGAAATCTTAATTGTTTCTGTAATTTTGTAATAATCTGGTAAAATGGCCGAAATGTCGACTATTGAATATGGATATTTGCATGTGGAAATTCATATTAATGTCAGTGTCAGCGTTGCAAATTTGACCATCAGCTAGGCTTTTCGCCGATTCTGAACATCGCAGAAATTTCACAGCTTGTCGCGGTTCTCGAACCCGTAACTCACTGATCCAAGATTCACTGTGCTTAAGCGCCCGGCCATATTGCCGATTTCAACTAGAGCTTTTCACCTTAGACTGCTGGTATTGAACCTACGACTCACCGTTCCAAATTTAGTGCTTAGAACTTTAACTACTCGGACACCCGGTTTCGTAATTTCATGTAAGTAAGTACAGTTAGGGCCTAAGGATATCGTCGTGGACTTTATTGTAGGTAAGGCAGTAAAAAAATCGTTTGCAACCGCCATGATTGGGCATAAATGAAAGTTTCGAAGATGACCAGATAGTAAGTTTAATCAACAATTTTCTCTATGTTTTTTTTTAATTTGGCAAATTAGATTCCTAGTTTACCGAGGAAATTAAAAAATTGGGATACCACAGAACATTTTATATAGTTTTTAGCGCATATTCTCATTTATGGAAAAAGTGAACTATTGTGCTCGTCATGTCCTTCCGTCCGTCTGTGACTTCACGTTTTCGTCGACGAGAAAATGTGCTCTCTGTCACTCACTGCAGTGAGTTCTGAGTTTTATTTTTTTGTACGACGTTTCAAATTACGTTTCGTTATTCAACAAAATACAGAATTTTCATTGCTTATGATATTGAATGGCGAGACTTCTCATTTTCAGCGTCGTAAAAATAATAAAAAAATGTCAGTTGAAAAAGTTACCTTTGAACTACAAATCCACTATAAGTCTTATGTTCGCAAAATAAAGAAAAAAAAAAGAAAATGTCTAATGTCTGATGTTCATCGAAACTTGCATGTAAAACAATTTCAGTTTACCTATAAATAATTCCTGTGGTACTTAAATGACAACGTTTACGTTTTAATGAATAATGTAGTTCTGAGACGATGTCATACATCGTCTCAGAACTACACCTATACACCTACACACCTACACACCTATACACCTATACACCTACACCTACACCTAAACTATATACCTATACTCACCTCACTCGCTTTGATGCCATCATTAAGTGAGGAGTTGGAAGGCAGGGAGTTCTGGAGCATTGACAGGATGCCTTTTTTGATGTTAACGGCAACCTTGGGATCGTCTTGGTCCACGCAGATCTCCTCGAATACACCGTCTAACATAACCGCACGTAGCGGATATCTGGTCAACTGCTCATCCAATGACCCACTCGCTGATAATGGATACCATTTCAATTATTAGCACACTCAATAATTAATTGAGTAATAAAACGTAATATATATTTATTCGTGATTAGGATAGTTAGGCAGAAGTTTCTCGTTTATACAGGTTTGATTACCAGAAGCGTACACCAGAGCGTACTTTTTATTATCAATTTTCTGTGTTCAATTTATTCGTGAGTAAATGTATATCCATTATTTAGGAGTAGTTTTAGTTAATAAAGTACTTACACTGCATTTAGAGCTAAGTCTAAACGTCACAACGTTAGAATTAAAAATACCATCAAATTATCTGTCGAATTCTAATTTAAAACACTCAACCTCAAAAACAACTCTTTAAAAAATCCTCATGTTAAAATAGGATATATATTATTGATACTATTGACAAATTTTCAATCTGGACAATTCTTTGATATCCTATAATAAAATCAACTGATAAATAGGAGATTGTTACACTTTAATTTTCGATGAGTACAATTTAAACTTAGTTTCCTGATTTCAAAGCGTTCATGGACACATATCGTATATTTCTGAGTGAATCTATCAAACGTTTGAAAATTTTGAGTTCCTCGATCAAATTTTGCCGTCCTCGTTTATTTTTATGTCCTCGGTTTGATGCCCTAGGTTCCAAATTCTTAGGATGGAAATGCTCTCCTAAAAAAAGGATGGAAATGCTCTCCTAAAAAAATTAAGAAAAAATCATAAATCCAACTTACGTTTTCCCTGAACGATTGGCTCCTTGATTTCAATGACGACTTCACACGGTGACTCGACATGGAGGGCGACTGTAGCTGACCACTCTAGTTCGGCCTCCTGACTAACGTTAGTCATGCGCACGGAGAATTCGCTGTGCAGTTCATACTCGTACGTCATGCCTGGTATGTAACTGAGCTTCGCTACCTCGCTGTGCGCACACCTACGCCTACACTCTCTTGAAGGTGATGTCTGCAGCGGCCCTGCGGCATAATTAAAGTTAGGACGTGTTTTGCCTTCATATATCTCAGATTATCAAGGCAATTATTTATATTATCTTTATTGTTATCTATATTATTTATATTATTTTTATTGGTATCTATGTTATTTATATTGTCCTTATATTTTTTATTATATTATATTTATTCTTTTCCCTTTAAATTTGCAGAATATACATGTGATATGGATCTTTTATAGATACCCGAGTTTGATATAATTAGTCGCTTTTAGTTTGTATAGGACCCTTTGCAGTTCGCTATAGACCCTTGGTAAGAGGTTAATGAATAATGAGAAAAATTATTTTAATTCGATAATTTACACTCTAGATAATTTGATAAATATAACTCTTATTTTAATGCTTTTCCTTGTTTAAAAGTCGCGAGAGAAAAAATAAAAAAAAATTAATTTTCAAAGGCACATCCACGCTCTTGTATAAATAAATAACACAAATAAGATAACGGAAAGGAGCAAGTCACTATACTGAACAATGCACAAATTCAAGTAAATTAGCCCTTCATTCCATTAATTACAACATGGTACATAATAAAAAAAACGAAAAAAAAACACAATATCAAAATAACACAGATTAACAACAGGTAACAACTAAGAACAACATGTTACAAATTTATATGGATCTCTTCCAAATTTATATTGATTTTGGATCGAAATCAAATTTTATTGACTCGGGCCTGAAATTTTGGTTGGGATTGATGACTAAAATCAAAGAATTGTTGATTGACTTGTTGATTTTTTTGCGAAAATGCTTCATAGGAGTACTTATATTATTAGTCTGCTTATTTCGCAAGTTCACAAGGAATTTAAAAGCAAAGAAAACGACAAGAAAATGGTTCAATATCCATATGGTGAATTTTCTTGGCGTTTTCTTTGCTTTCAAATTCCTTATGCTTCATAGGAAAGGTGCTTTTTGGTGAACGGGACGGGGAGGGTAATTGGGGCAGCCAGTAATGACGACGGATTGCAACCATAAGTGTGTTATTAAAGGCCAAAGAAAGACTGGTAAGAAGGCAATTTCAGACTCTGACATAATCATTTCACCAGGCAGCAACCACAATTTCTAGAGTAATCCATGCTGCTCAGTCACCAATCATTAGTAGATAACATCACTTTTAAAATATGACTCGTACTAGCATGATTGCAATGTAAATATAACAAAGTATAGGTAAAAACTCGTTTCGTAATATTTTTCTGGCGAATACTGATCTCTTTGGTCATGGATATATTGATGTTTGTCACTTATGTTCGTATGAAAAAACTGCGGCCACAGTAGGTACTCGTTAGTGATAATGGAATGAGCACGTAATCGAAAAATTGTAAGCGAATCAATGTTATAATGTTCTAAAAACTTGTGAGTGACCTGAATAAAAAATGTAGTGCAGGTTGTTATGTTTACATCATAATGAATAACTTGTTTTGGTGAAAAAAATGCTAACTTTTTAATAGAAAAAGATCATAACTTTGTTGAGGCTTCTTGTGCACATCTGATTCCATCCCTTAATGTCAGGGATTAATGTCTGATTAATAGGAGGTGTCGTCAGGAGCCTATGTGATTCAGCAAACAGAACGTTGATAGACCTACGACACTACGCAACCTTCGAATTCACTTTCATTTCCTTAAGTATTTACTAGTACCTTTTCGAAATTTACCCCAGTTCCTCCGATGAGTCAGTGAGCTAATTTAGTTTGATGTATTTACTTTGTATGTAATATTCTTGAACCATATTGTTGAATATTACGTTAACCTGTTTATCTCGAACTACTAAATTGTCGTGTTTCTAGGTGCAGAAACTCACCATCAATATACCTGATAGAAGTGTCGAATCATCTTGTTATTTTTACGAAGCTTTGGGGAAACCATTATAACTTTTAACCACGCAACGTGACTAACTATCGTTCGCCACGTGGCGTAGGCTAAATGTTAATCAGTCGTCTCTGTGATTATTGGGCTTTAGATTGCTGCAAGTGTCAAAAGGTCAAGCACTCTGCACAATCGATTACCTTCGAATCTAAGTCCTGGAGTAGAAGACTTATAATACATATAAGTCTTCTACTCCACTTTATGACAACATGGTTTTTCAATCATAACAGCTCTACTCATGCAGAATCAATGGTTCTCAGAGTCCAGCGACAGTGACGGCTACATTAAATGATTAATAACGCACACAAAAAGCTTCAGAGATCCATAATGGAAGGATAGAAATATATATGATACGAGTACTTCACTAAATTTTTAGAAATCTGTTTGGGTCCTGAATCTTTTGGATGACGGAAAAATTACTAATTTCACTCGGTATTGATGGGAAAAAGTACTATTCTCACTCGGTATTAGTACAATCGACCTTGTATTTTTTGCGAGGAATTATTTCTTTGGATTGCTTCGGGTATCACTGCACCCAGCATTGTCTTCGGCAGAGATTTACTTTTTAACACTCTATTTTTATTCGGTCTCGTGCGTGTGGTCTCATGAGGCGGGAATGCTGTCAGAAAACGGTCAGACCTTGTCGTTCCGGACGTCGACGAATGATGAAAGACGACTTTGTGCGATGAGGTACGTGTTTGTAAACCATAATATTGAGTTGAATGTGGTCACTATACTTCTTTTTCGACACTGGTCTTTGGTGCTAATTTACACGTGACAGCGCCGGACTATCCACGTTGCCAATCCTCCGTCCATAAATGGAGCTATAACAAACCATAAATAGGGCTATAACACAGGCGCTACGCTCTATCAGCAACAACACAACATTCGTCATTTAATTTCAGCTAACTAAACTCTTTTTTTTTGTGCACAATCCCAACGAATGCTTTACCTCTGGAACAGAAGTACGGCAGATTAGGCCGGAAATCACATAGAATGAAATGGCATCAGCCATATCACTATTTACGCGAATTTTTTCTGTCGTCATGTAAAGGAGATAAACTAATTGTTGAATTCAGTAGTCACGTTAGTACTAGACATTTACTTTTTTATATTACATATTTCATGGGAAAGATTTTAATTTTGCAAGCAAGACGTTAAATATTTGTAATTAAATTGTCAAGTTTTTCGAATTCTTACGGAATATTGTTGGAGCAAAATTTCTTCATAATTGTCCTTGGTAACGAATTTATGTCTATAAGTCGAATACGACCTACTATGAATGATGCCTGAACGTAAAGCTTTAGAAATTTATGTTTCTCCTTAAAGGCAGAATCAATTTCGGCGTTCACACAATTAAGATAGCCTTTGTTGAACTAAAACTTTAAATTATGCGCAGAAATGAGTAGAATTGAAAAATTCTACGCATCTCTTTCTAAAAAATTCTACGCCTGTTTTAGTTTGAAACAGAATAGACAAAGGAAAATATTAATAAAGAGAATTAAAGAAGCCTCCATCCTCTAGCGTGATGCATACGGCAACCTCGCGTGCTATGATTTTAGGACTTGGTTCAATAAAAATATTCAAGGTGAGTTACGTCGTAATTGAAACTTATGGAGGCATTGAGATAAATAATTTTTTGATTGTGTTAAAATCGCGTAATTTTTATCTAGAAAAATTTCCAAATGATTATAAATATGAAATTTATAAGCTTTCGAATATTAATTAAACAAAAATCTTCTTGATTCAACTAACTGAACTATTATAGTTATCCTTTGCTATTGGATATCTTATAAGTGCGTATTCATCCTGCTGTTCTCTGAGTCAAGTATTCAAGATCCACGTGACACATAAATCACATTATATCATTAGTATTGAGTAATAAATCACATTATACCATTAGTATTGAGTAATAAATCACATTATACCATAGTATTAAGTCATAAATCACATTATACCATTAGTATTAAGTATACTCACCAGCCGCAGCTGCTGCCACGAGCAGCAGTACCCCAAACACGAGCTTCATACCGACGAGGGGAGATGACCAGCACTGCAGCAGAGGGCAGACTTGCCCCTCTTATATAAGCTCGGCGCGTAGCTCTGTCTGGCGTCTGGGGGGTAATGCGATACGAGGGCTGCACACTTGCTGCGCGAGACTAGCACATCAATGTTCTATTATTGATACTTCATTAGGTAAATCGACATGTTTTGATTACTTGGCTAACATTTTGATAATGTCGACGATGAATCGAATCAAACCATAATTTGAATTCTGCTGGTATATGGTAACTTTACGAAAACATATAAATATTTAGTAAGAAATCGATCGTTTGTCATTAATTTTTTCCCTCTTCCATCATTTGATTAGATTATCAAAGCTGCCATATATATTCAAATTTTAGTCTAGAGTCATAAATAATTGTGAAAAGAATATAATAGCAGTAAAAATATTGATGAAATTTATTAAACCTATAAAAGATTTTTAAGACTAATCAACATAAGCTAGTTTCTGCTTCATTATTCGGATAACTTTTGATGCACGCCTATGATAAATAATAGAAGTAAATCTGACTATCACGTATAACGAGATATGTGAATATGCAACCAATTTACTGTTCTTATAGAATTTCAATAAGATGTTAAGTAATAAAAACGAAAGTTATATATCGCTAATCATACATTACCTCTCAACTTTCTCTATTCTTACTTTGATCGATTTTTTATAACTTTTATCTTATTTCATTTTTTATGGCTTCTATGAAATTTTGCCCATGATAAATAAAGTGATGAAAATTGTATAGGACTCAGTTCAACATGTTAAGCGTTGTACATTGTACATTGTGTTATTTATGTCATCGTGTAAATGATCAAAATGAAATTTTAATAATTTATCGCTGGAATATGATGATTTTTCCTGTCAAACTTTCCATCATGTGAATTTTGAGATTATATTTTAATATTTTTTCAAAGCATTTGCAGGTTTAATATTTCATGCCTCGTCGCTACTTTAAGACAAATAATTTCTCTGATTTGAACAGAGACGTGCAGATCAATTCGCCCAAAACGTTCGATGTCATACGATTTAATGTTACTTGCTTTGACAACACACAGAATGATTAAAGTGCATCAACGTGGCATCAATTGTCAATCGGTCTATTAACCTAGTTTTTGGACAAGGTTGTTTTATTTTGGGTCGTCCTAAACTACATAACATTGACTAAATAACTGCCGCGAATAAAATGCAGATATATTGGAGTACATCATATAGCTTATTTAGCACATATTAGATTCCTCTATATTGTGTCTAGCTGGCAAGTTTTCAATTAAATTTGCATTTTCTTCATTGATATTACTTATATAACGGTATATCAGACGCTGGTACAATGATAATGAGCCCTAAATATTATCTTAATATTTCGATTCGGTAAAATTAATTCTGTGATAATCTTGAATAATTTTCTCTTTACGTATCAATTTTTTGTAGCTCGAAGACTGATTTCAACAACTACTCAATATAAGTATTTATGCCATTAGTTTTCTTATATTGCTAATTTACCAACAATTGAAAAGGGAAAATGAAAGGCATAGTAAATTCACTATATTTTTAACGAAAACGTTTAGGATACCAGTTATATTACCAATTAAATACATAACCAATAAAAGTAGCAAATGGAAGTATATTTTTTGAACTGATGATTTAGCAGACTCCGAAACGTTTTTAATCAAAATAATGATGAATTATTTGTTGTTTTCTTTGCTATTCAATTCCCATTGAATATAATCTTTAATTATTCTGACGTGATATAAAGTTGACAATTTAACTCAATATGGTCGTCATCCACATTGTACTTTGATAAGTTCTCTGTTTATAACGACCTCATTGCCTTCTCAACGTGTGTCGATCTAGAATTCGTGAAGGGCAGGGCCTAACAAAACAGAGTATAAATCTGTCACTCAATTAGTTATCAATGCGGTTCACGTAAAGCAAATTTCACCGCCAGACCACACTTTCGAAAGAATGCACGCCTTCCCCTTTCAAAAAGTCGGCGTCGTCCATGCGATTATACTCCCGCACATATTGTTTGTCATCCATGGACTTTCATCCATTCAGCTTCCGGAACCTGGGAGGAAGATACGGTATTCTTCTTTCAAAGACTCTTAAATAATTAGTAAAAACGATTGACGACCTAGCCCGATACACTTTCCTTAACCACCTTAACTTTTTCTTAGTTAACATTTGTGTCTGTTACACAGTCTGTTCAAAAACCTTGAACCGTTAAAATATTCTCGCCTAAAATATAAATATTCCCGTATTCTAGCCTGAAAAAAGTTCAAAATAATTTGGAGCCTCTTCAAATAAATTTACTTCATCTTATTGTCGAAATCTCAACTTTTACCTGAGATGTCACGCCACCGCCTTCCACCGCTACTCCGCATTGGTGTTGATGTTTTTCTCTTTTATCAATGGTGAAATTGACACGGATAGGATAGTTTTTGAAATAATCTTGAGTCACCGCGTAGTAATTATATTGCTTCATCTGGTCATACCAGATTGTGGTCAGACCATCTTGACACCTCTTTTGTGGTTAAACCGGCTTGCGGATCGACGAAGCTAATGGCCTGTCGTTTAGTAAGTGCAATTTTGAAATTTACGATTGAAGTTCCATTGTGTCCGGCATGACGCTGTTTGTATTTTTTGTTATTGTGGGGTGGAAGGTCAAAACTTGAATAAACATCGGGCAAAAGAAGATACTAAATTCAGATTCCTCTTTTAGCATTGATAAATGATGCCTCTGTTTCAATGTTGCCAAAATCCATATGGAACCCCGTTGGCCATGATCAGATGATCAGATATAAATTATTGGCATTAGTCGTAACATGTTCATCAGCACGTCATAATTTTCTCTTGAATCGCTGCAATGTTGTATCCTTGTTAAAAATAGTTATACACGAACCATCAGCTGAAGCTCTCATCTTTCAACGATTTCTGATTGGTTTCATTGTCCTTCCGTTACCAAATTCTCCACCTACATGCAGTCTAGAAAATTTATGTCGCCTCTTTCCTACCGAGAGATGTATTTAGGGCAGGGACAGAAATTATTTTTTCTGTGACGTAAATGCAGAGAAAATTTGTTCTGCATAGCTAAAGAGTTAAGAAATTAAATTTTTATTTGACATGTTTGAAATCAACTGTCACTTTAGAGAGATCAGCTATACTGTATTGAATATTGTCTTGTGCTCGCAAGGCACATTCCAAGCGCACCGCGCGCATGTTTTTCTTCATTTAACAGACATGAAAATAGATCATCCTAAACTTTATCCGGCATTCAAAAATTCGAGTAAATAATCGCAGAATAATTAGACTTGATAAAATAATACGTGTGAAATATATGAAGAAGATCCGTCGGTTATCGAACTCGGCTTATAGTGTCAGATAACGCAGAACAGACGCAGCTCTTTTTGACTCGAGTTCCCTTGACCTCTGATGTAAGTCTGTATTATGCGGCAAGCAGCTGTTGGCATCTCTTATTAAAGTCCTGCTTCTTACGATGTTAAATTACTGCTTTACTGCTAAAGTGGCTATCATTGCCAGTTCATGAATGATTGTTCGAAGACTTATGAGCAATTATAGACAATTATTTGTATATTATGATGGCAGTTCATGAATGATTGTTCGAAGACTTATGAGCAATTATAGACAATTATTTGTATATTATGATGGCAGTTCATGAATGATTGTTCGAAGACTTATGAGCAATTATCGGCAATTATTTATATATTATGATGCCAGTTCATGAATGATTGTTCGAAGACTCATGAGCAATTATAGACAATTATTTGTATATTATGATGTCTTAATGCACACAACTTAATGCATATTATATAAGTTGAATGTGATTTAACGGAGTTTGACTTAGATATCAGCTCGCATGGAAAGTTTCAATTGATCTAATCCATAATCATAAGTTTTATTGAATAAAATCACTGAAAACCGCTTGGCGACAAAACAGACGGCAAAAGTTGTTTCAACTTTTGCCGCCAATAATGGCAACAAGAGGACAAAAGCGGTGGAGCGGCCGCTCTAATTCAGCCTACTTTAATTTTTCCAGAGTCTAACACGAGTTGCGAAAAAGTTTTAATGACGGCAAAACAGGCGATAAAAATTTTTTTGCCGCTTACGTCTCCAAAAGTTGCGAAAATAAAGTTGCCGCAACTTATGTTGTAGCGGCGTATAATTAAGATATTTTTGTGTTTTACGTTGCAGTTTTCGCCTGCCTCACGCTACTCTTTTAACGAGTTAGGATATTAGGAACATCGATTCAGACAAAAGCGAAAATTAAACCAAGGAGTTAAGATAAGAATTCCAGGCTCATGTTTTTCAATGTCACGTGTTTCCACCACAAAAAATCAATATATTGGAGTATGACACCAAATTCGTACGTCAATTTAGTTGGTGCAATAATAAAACAAAACGTCTCTTCGCATGTTTGTTACATTCAACGTTGATTTAACGTTAAATTTTGATTGATCAGCATTTCAGCCTGAAATCAACGTTTTTCCAAAGTCAGATGCCTGTTGGGTTACATGCCTGAAAGGATTAAGGCGGAATCAGCTTTATCAACAAGCTGGAATCATGGTTTGGAATTTCGAAAATCTAGAAACTTTCTTTCTTCTAAAAATTCTAGTATTTCTACTAAAAAATGTTCTATTAGAATTCTACTAAATATTCTAAGAATGTAAACATTATTGTTATGAATAATCCAAAAGGTTTCGTAGGCCAGGAAAACTCTTGAATTATTTTAATTATCACAACTCATATTGCGCTAGTAGGTATTACTGAAGGTGGTCAAAACTAGTGTAGTTTGAGCTGTCTGGGTATGGGGTTTGAAGCTCGCGGCTCAGAGCATTTTTCAAGCTTCTCTTAATAAACATTTATAATTCTGATTTTACCAACATTTGCTGTTTTTTTCCACAATTGCATTGACAATTCTACTATCCCGTTGGGGTAGCAAAGTATGTTGCACCTCTCCCTCAACATTACCTT